GAGCAAGCTATTATTTTCTATATGTGCTCACCTAATGTCCATTAAACTTAGGGTTGGGTATTGTTTGAATTTTATCAGTTTCAATTCCGATTACGATTCTAAGGGTCATTGATGTACAAAATTATTTGCAAAGATTATATACGTTGTTTCCTTCAGTTGCATCTTAATGCACACTTCAACACTGATAATGAATCAAACGGTAATCCAATTCAAATATGAAGTTGAATGATTCATAGGTGAATCAAACTGATCTGGTTCTTGACGCTTGAGCAAGCTATTATTTTCTATATGTGCTCACCTAATGTCCATTAAACTTAGGGTTGGGTATTGTTTGAATTTGATCAGTTTCAATTCCGATTACGATTCTGCTTAACGATTCCAATTCTTATTGATCCCCAATTTTGATTCCAATGTGGTTAAAAAACATTTAGATATCAAACATATTTATTCTGTGTCTCTTTTTGCAAAACATTTAATTGCTGCTGAATACCATGAACAAAAATCAGCTGGCTACATAAAAACTGGACTCGATTAAGAGCTGTTCATGTGCAAAATAGAGCTGCACGAAAATAGAGCTCCACGATTCTGGATAATTTTTTTTTAATGGAGGTTGTAGTGTTCTCATAATTCTGAAGAAAAAATATTACACAACTAAACAAAATGAATGGAATGATTCAATGACTCACTCAATATTTACTTGTTTCATTACTGGATGAATCAGTGTTTTTGAATGAATCTCTTGAATGAATGATTCAAAGACAAATAAGTTTTTAACAGTCCCTTTTCACCACCTAAAAAAAAAAAGAATTGATAGGTGGAATTGAAATTTTCATTTTACAGCAAGTACAGTATCTGATTCCTGACCTTAAGTATCCGATTCTGGAATTGGAATTGATTTTCGATTGATCTCGGCAGAGGGTCTCGTCTCTCGTGCCACCCTGGGTGCGCTTTGAAAGGGGCAAAAGGATCTTTTGACCCTTGCAAACTTGTATGCAGCATATCATTTGTTGTCAATATGATCTTCTAAATTTTAATAACACTGTACTTTTTGTTGCGTTACATTACAGAGTGTTTCTAATGCAAATTTGACATTTTTCTCTTGTCTCTTTTCTTACTATTGGAGCAAATGATAATGCAAAAATTATATTTGTTGTAGTTTCTGTTCACCACTATGACCTCCACTTCCTAGAGCCCCGGAAATGTGAAAAAAGTCCATTGGTGTGCAAAATATTTCCAAAGATTTTATACTTTGTGTCCTTCACTTACATTTTAACTCATGTTTCAACAATGATATCAAATTGAACAATGATCTGATTCACAAATTGGACTGATCTGGTTCCTGACATGATGTGAACAAGCTATTATTTGTGAACAAATATTCCACAGTTTTGGATGTTCTTATTAAAAGAATAACAAGTAAACTTTCATATTAGAGTTTAAAGTTATTGGTAAAAAAAGTTATTTATTTAAACGCATTCAAACTTACTTAGTAGTAAGTTATTAGTTAAAAAAGCATATAAAAAAAAAAATTACTGCTTTATGAACCATCAGAACCATTTTTAGAAAATGACAAATTATGCTATAGATTTGAAAAAAAAAATATTTACAATTTTTCTCACAGTTTTTGATCAAAATGAAATTTAAGACAAATGAAAAAGTCTCCTTTTATTATTGCTTTGACAAACGCTGCATATTTCTCCAGTCCCGGGGTGCATTGTACATCCTTAATATTTGTTGTAGTTTCCGTTCACCACTACGACTTACACATCAGAGAACCTTGGAAATGTGAAAAGGGTCATTGATGTACAAAATTATTTGCAAAGATTATATACGTTGTTTCCTTCAGTTGCATCTTAATGCACAATTCAACACTGATAATCGGTAATCCAGTAATCCAATTCAAATATGAAGTTGAATGATTCATAGGTGAATCAAACTGATCTGGTTCTTGACGCTTGATTATTTTCTAATTTTCTATATGTGCTCACCTAATGTCCATTAAACTTAGGGTTGGGTATTGTTTGAATTTTATCAGTTTCAATTCCGATTACGATTCTACTTAACGATTCCAATTCTTATTGATCCCCAATTTTGATTCCAATGTGGTTAAAAAACATTTAGATATCAAACATATTTATTCTGTGTCTCTTTTTGCAAAACATTTAATTGCTGCTGAATACCATGAACAAAAATCAGCTGGCTACATAAAAACTGGACTCGATTAAGAGCTGTTCATGTGCAAAATAGAGCTGCACGATTCCGTATATATATATATATATATATTTTCTTATGGAGGTTGTAGTTCTCATAATTCTGAAGAAAAAATATTACACAACTAAACAAAATGAATGGAATGATTCAATGACTCACTCAATATTTACTTGTTTCATTACTGGATGAATCAGTGTTTTTGAATGAATCTCTTGAATGAATGATTCAAAGACAAATAAGTTTTTAACAGTCCCTTTTCACCACCTAAAAAAAAAAAGAATTGATATGAATGGAATGATTCAATGACTCACTCAATATTTACTTGTTTCATTACTGGATGAATCAGTGTTTTTGAATGAATCTCTTGAATGAATGATTCAAAGACAAATACGTTTTTAACAGTCCCTTTTCACCACCTAAAAAAAAAAAAGAATTGATAGGTGGAATTGAAATTTTCATTTTACAGCAAGTACAGTATCTGATTCCTGACCTTAAGTATCCGATTCTGGAATTGGAATTGATTTTCGATTCCCAACCCTAGTCCTAAATTGGCACAAAAACAATCACAACAACAACAAGAAAGCTTTATGTACAGTACAAAAACTCTGAAATGTTGTATTGAAAAGTTTATAATTAGCATTAGTCTAATAATTATATTTATTTATTTTTAATAAAGTTTTTTAGAGAACTTAAAAAATTCAGCTGTGGACTGTGGAATTTGCTGACAATTTATGGACTAAAACGGATAATTTTGTTCTTTCCCCACATTAGATGTTGTTTCTTTAATTCCTGTTGATCCTTTAGTCATGTTAGCAATTGTATGTTTTCGTGAATGTACTTTTTTTTTTTTATTAAATTCAAATCTTGTTATATTAAATGAAATGTTTCATGTGGACACCAACGTCATTGTGGGCTCCCCGTACAAGTCCAGCCCATTTGGAAATGTTGTGAGTTATATGACCCCTCTCCATGTACCAATGGGATTCTCCACAATCTCTGCAAGACAGCAAAGTCTGTCTGGCTCCCTCAGCAGATGGCCAACCGCCTGTTCGGCTGTTTTGTGAAGCTTTTTTTGTTGTTGTTTTGTTCTTCTGCAAACACCTTTCTCCAAATAATATTCCCCCTGAAATAGTGTGGATAGGAGGGACTGTCCACAGTAACCCAGAGCTTGCAGGATGTGAAAGCTAGCATCTCCTCACTCGGCTCTCCGGCCTGTTCTAATCCCTGTGGTGCGGTGGAGAGGGACTGTCACCATGGGCACACTGAACGGAGCACGTTCAGATTAGAAAGCCTCTAGAGAGAAGCCACTCTGTGTTGCTGCGCGACAGGTTCCTACTAGATAATTTTTCTAATTAACCCAGACAGAAAAGATGCAGCACAGATGTATAGATGGAAAATAGAAAACTTTTTTTTTCCTGGCCACTATCCTCTCTCCAAACCCATCCAAGCATCTCTAGAAATAACTTTCTTAGAAAAACTTAATTCAACTTATTTACATTATATTATAGCAATAGTTGTACCTATATGTAAAATGTCTAATGTTGCTTATTTGCCATTCCAGAATGAAAGTCACATAGTTGCCTCCTCTAGGTGTCTGTAAGATCTAGCTCACCCTTTCTTTCATTTCCCTTTGAATATACAGTAAATACAAAGTGATTGTCAATGTCAAGTGACCTTGTTTTGTCAAAAGATCTTTAAAATAATATGTTTTCTTGTATTTGCACTGTAAGGGGGGTCAAGTGCTTTGTGTGATGCATCATAACCATGATGAAAGCTATTAGGAAAGTTACATGTAGAGGAAACCAGAGAAAAACAGATTTCTGTGCCAAGTGCAGCATCAAACTGAAAAGCATTAATTCAAACAACTTTCCCAAATGCTCCGGCCAGCTTCCATTGTCACAAACCCATTTATTTGTTAAGGCAGTGTTTTTATGTCAGGCCGCTCAAACAAACATATTGAAAGCTCCATAGAGCCACAGTGTTTGTGCTTATTGTTGTCTCTCTTTACCTAAGGATCAGATAAAAGTATTTTAACATTGAAGAAAGACATAAAACGTGGGGAAGACAAAGCAAATCCTGCACACTATATTGAAAGAAGAAATTTCTGAGAATATTAATAAACAAGCACAAATGCCAAAGTGCTCAGGGACAAAACATTCTCGATTGAACACTGATGATAAATGTAAATTGAAAGCATTTTATTCTTGCTTTAAGCACTATTTTCCTCAATAAATTTACTTAAATTTGAGAAAATAAAAAAATTTACTATTTAAAGGAGTATCACTGTTTGCATTCCCTTTTATTTATTTGAGCCTACGTATGTGTCACGTATATCATCTGTTGATCTATCTATCCATTCGTCCATCTATCTGTCAAACAATCATCAAAAACAGATTTGTGAAAAATGAATGTTATACTCTAAAATGTTTAATTGCATTTCACCAAATAGTGCTTGATAAGGACATGAATACCTCAAGTTGTGCAGTTATAGATACTTTTCTAAAGTGGTTGACTTACAGTTTTTGCCTGGCAGACAATAAAACAGGATGAAATGTCCAATAGAGATGCATTGAATAGAGATGCATCTAGTTACCCGAATATCATACTGGAGGTGCTTCACTCAGATCACCTTATCATCTGCACAGCACTGCCCTGGCAAACACGCAATGTTTTCTTTAGAATATGACCTTTAAAGTGTCTTTCTTTAGTTATGAAGGTGTGGTTTAATATTATGCTGTTTATGTGTCTTACAAATGTATCTACATTTCAGTGCTCTGCTTTATTTGCAGAAATTGAACTCTCCTGCAGTTCTGAAAGCTCCCAAAGAGAGAAAGCCAAGCAAGAAGGAGGGAGGATCACCAGGGAAGTCGTCGAGCCTCCCAGCTATGCTCTACAGGTTAGCTTGCAGCCGATACAGGGCGCCTGCATGTGCCCGGCATCAGTCACGACACCTGGCCACGGTTATTGTAATATATTTTTTAAACATTGACTTAGAATTCATAAATTATTATGTGCTAAAAGAGAGAAAAATGTGTGAAAAGATGCCTTAAGAGGCAATGTTTTAATACGGTTATGTGCTGTAAATAAAAAACAGTTTCATGTTCTGTGCAGCTGTGGGATCTGTAAGAAAAACCAAGACCAGCATCTTTTACTGCTATGTGACACCTGTAAGCTGCATTACCACCTGGGCTGCCTGGACCCGCCTCTCACACGCATGCCGAAGAAGACCAAAAACAGCTACTGGTGAGAACAGGAGTGGGAGATGGAATTAAAATGGAATAAAAGTAACTTTCAGAAGTGCTGACATCTCTGGAGCAGGGTTTCTGATTATCAATACTGGCTAGTGATTTTAAGCTGTAACGTTTAAAATAAGTAAATACAAACACTCGTAATTAAATACTCACTAAAAAAAGATATTTAGAAAATATTTAATTATTTACTTGCATGTTATGTGAACACAACATCAGAAATCAAATGATTTAAAAATCAATTATTGAAATCCAAAATTTTGTGAATCCCTGCTCTAGAGGAAACAAATAAACGTTTTATAAACAATTCCCTTTTTTTGTCAATGTAACAAAAAGCTGTCAATTTAACAAAAATTGTAATCATATTTTATTCATATTACATGAAATGCTAATAAATAAATCAACTTTATATATGGGTCAGGGGGCATGATTAATTGCAGATTAACAGCTCTATTTTTTCAAATGTCTATCACAAAATAAAGGTGCTATTTCAAATTCTAAGTGCAGCAGTCCACTTGCAGTGCGTCATAAAGTCCCTCCATGTTTACTTTCATAAGGTTATACTAACTGTCACTTTGAAAAATTATGTGGAGCTCCACAGTTTCTGTGTTTTGTTTATTTGTCAAGCTGAGCCCAATGCTTTCACTGCTGGTTCGAGTAATTCATTTAATCCATGAATAAGAAAGCGTGATGTTGTTCCGCACTGCTGGTTGGAAATTAGAAAGCATTTGAAAGATAAAATTGTGTGGGGGGGGCAAGTCGTACCTAATTACTGGCAACTGGCTGCCCCTGAGACAGTAATATTTTATAATCAAAAAGCTTTTGCTCGCACTGATTAAGAATTCGGCTATTCCTTCAATTTCATATATTGTTTGTGCGGGATATTTTAACAACCCTTTTGTTGGAATGAATATGACACATCTGCTTCTGATGGAAAAACATTGACATGGACCTTGAAAGCCACTCCCTCATCTCAAAGAGTTCTCCATATTGAGGAATCAATAAGGTCAAATGAAAGCAAAATAATACCTGACTCCTTTGTCTTTCTCACTCTCTTTCTCTCTGTCGCTCATCCTTTTCCAGGCAGTGCTCTGAGTGCGACCAGGCCAGCAGTGATGAGGCTGACATCGCCATGGAGACGCTACCGGATGGAACCAAAAGGTCCAGGAGGCAGATCAAGGGACCAATCAAATTCATCCCTCAAGAAATGAGCCCAGAGCCCAAGAAGCTTCAAGTGAGAGGGACTGTGAGTATGAGCATATCATGAGCTCACTGATGACGAACGTGTGTTAAAAAGCCAAAACTTGAAATTGGGCTTCTAATACCCACCAGCTGCGTTTCACAGATTTCCTCTAAAGATAAAGGTGGATTTTTAGCCCTGGATGCATGACATCATCAGTTATGTCTTCTCAAGTTAATGAAAACATGGCTGAGAGAGACCCACAAATCTCTTGAGAAATGGGAATTACTTTGTCCACTAGTCCGTTTTAAGCTTCGTCTAGCTCTCTCTGATTGGTGCTTTAACTCTAGCTGTTGTCTTAGGTCAAACATTCATTCGCTGACTCGAAATTGATTCTTTGCTTCTCACGTAAAATAGATAATTGACCTGTTCTTTAGTCTCTTGAGCTTTCGCAGAGGTTATCGGTGAAGATCACAACAGCTAGCCTTGTTGATTACTTTGAAATGGACAACCTAAACACTCTATCATCTTTAATTGTTTTATAAAACCACCTTGAAACTGATACGGCCATAATTAAGCCATCAGTAAAAACCCCACTGGAGCTGCTCCCGAGCATTTCAGTTTTATTAGAACATTAGCATTTAGAATTGTTTCCGAAACTTAACGAGCTGCCTTGCTGCCTACTCCGTACAAAAGCAGCTGCTAGAGAAGATAGCTCAACCTCACAAGTAACTGATTTGGAACGCTCTATGACACAAAGAGTGTTACATCTTGCTTGCCTTAAAATCGATTCAAATACATTTGACATTAGCATGTTGCTAAACTAACAGCACAATATCAAAGACTGTTTATAAGTACCATATAAGGTTCACTCAGTGGGAGAAAGCGTAATACACACTTTGACAGAATAAGTCCCTCCATAAAGAAAAGAGCCAGCTGCCAATAGACCTTTTTCACATTTCCGGGTTTTCAGCAGCAGAAGTCGTTATAGTTCATAATTCGAGAGCAGTGAATGGGAGAGTACCACACATATATTTTTTGCAATCCCAATTACTCAAATAGCAAAGGAAAAACTACATGATAGTGTTTTCACGACTTTCAATCAAAGCAACTAATCGAAAGAGACCGATATCGGCAGTCAGAAGAGAGAACAATGTCAAATTTACCGTCCCTCCCATAGACACTGCATTAGAAACACCCTCACAATAGCGTTAACCAGTTTTTTTTGGTAACTTGATGAAAAGGTGATATAATACAAAGTATAGTTTTATAAATGTATATATTTAAAAAAAAAAATCTAAATATAAATAAAAGAGGATTTAAGATGCTGAGTATTTGAAAAGCGTCATCACAATCTTGTGAAAAGGGTCCATCGGTAAAATCATTGCAGCTGCTATTGGAAGTTCCTGCTTTCCATAGAAATATTCTATATGCACTCTGGGCTGTACATGTGCTTTGGCTGTACCAACGTGAAATATACACTTTTCAAATTATATTTGAGGATAGAAAAAACAACATTTAGGGGACAGTTTGTCAGATTTTGTTGCTGATTTACAAAAAATGTAAGTTTGGCAAGCAGTGTTTGAGATTTCAGTATTTCTCCATTCATTTTAGATAGAAGTTGGTCTTGCATGCCTTGCATTACCCTAGTAAGCATAAATAACACAGAAAACACAAATATTGGACAAAATCCATTTTCTATTTGCAGCTGGCGTTTTTTTTTTTTATACTTTTCATTATTAAATGAAATTTGTAATATTTAGGAACACTTCATAGTGTCACTGAGTTAAGACAATTAAGTTTTGAACAGCCTTAAAGTCCGTGTGAACCAGAAGATGCTGCCGACTTTATTTCAGTATGGTGACGTATTTCCAACTGAAACGGAATATTGAGTAGAGGGAGGGGTTTTATTTTTGCGCTCCTCTCATCTTTCACTCGCAGCAAACTAACGGTTGGAGGGGCGTTTGTTCTGCCCAAGCCGTCAAACTGCCATTCCAGAGAGGAAGCAAATGATCAGATTATGATTAAAACAAGACAAACAATTTTTTTCAGAGGATTAACTTGCATGGATTAATTGTTCACCTTTAGACTAACAATGTGCACTAACAAAATAAATATTGTAAATTTTGATTTCATGCGAACTTTAAGATATGGTTACATTTACTATTGTTTGGCAAATGTTCTCAGGCAAATCCAGTCATTTTGATAGGAATCCATGTATCCAGGAATTCTGCATGATGGAAAAAGATTTCCCCACCCAGATTTCGCAAAACAGGTTCAAGTTGGTCTCACATATTCATAGCATTGACCAACAGAAAACTGCTGTTTGAGCTGTGCTTCACACCACACTACACGATAATAGACAATAGACTTTTTTGCCAAGTGTGTGTTTACTTGATGCCTTAAAATGCTGTGTTTATAGGCAGCTTTCTGTAACAGAGTGAATATTGTCTGTTGAATGATCAGACGTGTGCACCAATACCTCTAGCTGTAGAGGCAGCGTGCCACATTGAAGTGTGAGGGGGAAGGTGTGTGTGTGTGTGTGTGTGTGTGTGTGTGTTTTCAGACTTGAGATAGGGCTTGTCTTTCAGGCTCTCCATGGCTTCCACTTATCACTGTCCAGCATTCTCTGATCCTGCGATAGCGCTCCGGCAGCCCGACTCCCTTAAGGAAGATAAAAGATATCCATCGGAGAAACGACATGCTCTCCAGCCCTCCTTCATTTTGTCTTTTTCAACCTTTTGTTTTAAAGCTTAGCCAATAAACCTTTCCCTGCCAGTTTTTTAAATTGAATTAGAAAGTAAAGCGCAATTTTAGATGGCTCCTGCAGCACTGCAGCCACTCGCCTTGGCTGACGGCTGTCAAAATGGCTCACACGCAGGTAAAAAGAATGACTTCTGGACGGTATTTTTTGTTTGCTGTATTTACGCGTAAGTGTGGGCTTGCGTATGCCAGGCAGGGTTAATGTGTTTTCCCTTTAGTCTCGGAGACGCGTGCCCAGAAGTGAGGCGAAGGCTTCGGTGGAGAGCAGCTGGATTAAAAGGCATTTATTTTTCTCCCTCTTCTGTAGCTCCGGCTAAACTCCACCAGAGAAAGATGCTTCATTGCAGAATTTATCTTCACTTGCATTCCAGAGTGTGGCAGCAGCTGAAGGAGCCCTGCTTTGCATTTTTTAATGCCCTTAACCAGCCGGTGTGGCAGTGGCAAGCCCTTGTAAAGCTGTGCTCTGATTTATCACGGTCCGCTAATCGACCCTCCGCCATCCCTCCATTCAGGAGTCAGTGGTGTTCGGCTTCACTAATGTGCCGCACTGTTCCGCGGCCACTGAATACCGGCTCTCCTGCACACCTGAAATGGCTCTCATGACTAGCACACACTGAGATTTTGTCCGGACTCTAGTGGACTTTATGCATCATTTGCGCGAATAAAGGCATTGGAAATCTTGCTATAATTAGTGGAGTTTGCAAAAGTAAGGGTCATTTTGGTCATACTTTGGTTTTTCAAGTATAAAACTGGCAATACAAACATAAATGATAGAGACTTGTAGAGGAGAAGTGTGCTATCTACTTGTCTAAGTGATTTTTTTTATCATAGACGCTTCGAGTTGGGTTCTTCATATTTGGCCCATTAAGTAACCACCTAGCAACTATCCAGAACACCCTAGCAACCTCAAAGCAATACCCTGACAACCACCCGCAAGAAGAAGCATTTTGTTTAATGGGACCGGCACAACTGCAAAATCTACTGCAATGCACTAAAAAAATCTATCCATTAATTTTTTTTTAATTTAAATGTAACAATTTGTGTATTTATTTATTTGTTTATCTATGCCCTTTAGTTTAGTTTTTTTTATATATATATATACTTTAATCATTTATTTTAGTTATTTATTTTGTTAAATATTTGTTATTTTTTCACTCTTGCCTTTACCCCAAACAATTCCATAGTTTTGCAAACTTTGCCGCAAACAGTTTTTCTGATAAAACACCTTTTAATAATAAATAAAATGATGAATAATATTGCATATTTTTTTGAAAAATATCTTATACTAAAATTTTGAATATTTATTCATTTATTTTTTTTCACTTATTTATTGATTTTATTTTTTTTCCCATCTTTTGCCTCTGTGCCCTTTAGGCCAAATACTCCTATAGTTGTTTTTTTTTCTTCTTCTTTTTACTTAGTAGCAAACTATTTTTCTGATCGAACACCTGTTTGATTATTTTACATATTTGTCCTGGATTTTAAGCCATTAGTCTTCTTTGAATTACCACAGTAGGCTACTCTTTGTTACGGTCCCTTTGTATGCACCAATAGCTTTTCCAATCTTGTGGAAATTGATTCAGTGTTTTTAAAGATGCAGCATTGCAAGGCCTTTAATTAAAAAGTAGAGTTTTTTCGCAGAGTCGTCTTGACTGTCCTCCTCCAAGTGTAGAGTGTTGTTTACGTCAGCCCTTCACCACGTTTACAGTACTTTACCATTACATAGAGGATCTCGGCACAGAGGACCACTGATCTAGCCTTTAATAGATTACCTTAATCGAGTCTGCCATAATGAAGGAATAATAAAATAAATGAGTACCTTTGTTTGGTGCCACCATTGAGGGAGAAGTGGCAGAGGCATTTAAGTGGCAATTGGCAGTGTGGAAGCAGTTAGCATTTATAATGATAAGTGTTCCATCTGCTGTGTGGTGGCAAGCCAAAGGCGACAGATGGAATTGTTTTCACAGTCTGTTTAAATATGTTGTCGTTTTTTCTTCCCTTTTTAAAAAGCCCCAACTTGGCACACTCATGCGCCTGTTCGCATTAAGGTGGAGACGTTTGATTTGACTCGTGCAAAGCTGCTGTTGTTTTTCTTGTGTTTATCAGCCACTGATGGAGATGAAGTGTTGATCCGCCGATGGTAGACAAGAAAAACAATGCAAAAAGTGTCTCTAAGCGAACAGGAGAGTGCTCTGTGGAGAACATGTTTGGATACTCAATCTTGGTTCATGACACACACAAAAATCCAATTTTAACAGCCAGGGTCGACCCAATTGCGGAATGGCCTTATATCTGGATAGAGAGGGGCATCGATTGAGGCTGTGGTCTGGGCTCTAAACAAAGGGATTGAATCCCTCTATGGCACACAAGGGGGAGCCGGACTGAATGAGAGATTTGGATTAGAGAGGAGCACCACTGTTTGACATCTGTAGCAGCTACAGTGAGCCGCAAGTCACCAGCTGCTCTGCGTGAGCTGTTTACTCGTGGAGAGCGTTAAACTATGTTCTGTTCAGCTTACTGCCACATGGCTTGAACAACATCACATTATACTCTAACTGAGCAGCTTTTCGAATCTCATTTTACTATATATATATATATATATATATTTGCAATTAAGCCCTGAAGCACCAAGTTAAGGACTTATGGAAACATTTATAACTTATTTCAGCTTATGTTATTATTTCAGCTTCATTACCTACTTCTGAATATGCCTATTTCACTAGTATATCGTTGGCAGAATATATGTGAAATGAGTAGTATGTCCGAATTCCAATTTGGAGTAGACGTCACCGTTACATCACTTGCAGCTACACGCGCATAGTGGTGGCAGAAAAACACTGGGAACAATTGGAGGGAAACGGGTAAAATCCATGGAATAAGAGAAAAAAATTTATTGTTGTGCCTTTGGATGTCAGAATCGGAATGCAAATAATTTTTATATAACACTGTCGTCAAAGACGCCATTTGAAGCTAAACACAGACGTTTAAACGGACAGACTGTGGATGAAACCTGCTATGAACCCTACTTTTAAAGCATACATTTGATTTAAACAATAGGTCTATATAATATTCATATAGAGGACATATTGTATTAGCCCTACAGTTGAAATACATGCAGGAAATACTATTTAATCCTATAACATTTTACATAACATGAACCTCTTTTATCTCACAATTCTGACTTTTTTTCTTGCTAATGCAAGTTTATATCTCCTAGTTCGGACTTTATAACTTTATTCAAGTCAACAATTGTGAGTTTGTCAATTCTGAGGAAAAAAAGCCAGAAGTCTGGGATTATAAACTAAAAAGAAAGAATGACGAGTTGATTTTTCTTACCAGAATTGTGAGATAATCTCGGAATTGCAAGAAAAAAGTAAAAAAAAAATGTAATGCCGTATTACATTACATTACAATTATATTTTTATTATTTTATTCCATGGCTTGAATAGACTGCTACGTTAAAACTGTCATTTTCTGCCACCAGATAGGCTCCGCCCACAAAAAAACGTCATCACTGTTTGCACTGAAATTCGTCTATTGGAATATGGCAACACAATACAATTAAATGGTTCCCATAATTATAAAAATGTAAATGCTGTAAGTGTGCCGCATCGCACTTTCAACAATTTTTTTTTTCTATTTTTGAAGTTTCCACCCACGCCGCTGCCATTGTGTTTTCGCAAGCAACAACGGTGTACCAGTTGTAACACCATGGCGAAACTTCGAGCAAAGCATGCTAACTGTTCTGTCTTTGGCAGCACTGACGAGCACAGAACACTATTTAGAATCCCAGCCTCAGAGGAGACAAGAGAGCAGTGCATTTATTGATTTATTTAATGCATATTATGCTGCTGCCACACAGATCTAATATAAACATGATTTCTTTCCCAGCTGTTTTTCACAGACATAACCAACTGTTTTTGTAACTTGTGTGTTTTTTTTAACATAAACTTGTGTGTATTTGGCCAGTGTCACCGCTTGGCAAGTTTCGGTACCAGGGATGCGAACTTGTCACCTTTTGGTGAAATTCGCCGTTTTGAATTCAAAATGGGGTAATTTGTGTGATTCGTGTAGATCCGCTGAGTTTTTAAAATTGTTTTAAAATTGTTTTAAAATTGTACCAACTAATTCTGTACCGGCTCAAAGTCACCCACTTTCATGCGATACTGTATGTTTTTGTGTTTACGCTCTGGTTTCGAATTACAAAACCAAAAGTTTCTATTTACAATGTGTTTTGCAGCATTGAGTATTGTAGCCAATAACAGGCATCTCTGTTGAAAGCAGTGGCCAATCAGAGGTGTTTACTGTAGGTTAGTCAGAATCCGCTCTGATATAATTTTTGTTTCTGCAAGTTTACGTAGTTCTACACGCTCACAGATCTTCCTATTTACAACAAGACAAAAAGAAAGCATACACGATGTAAATAAGATATTCATTGTGTAGTTAGTTATTGATTATGTGAGGAGTTTTCGCGTGAGTAAGCTCAGACAGTTGCGCTATAAGGGAGGAAGCGCCCTTTGCTCGGTGTCTTTTACATACATTCACAGTTTGAAGAAAAGTTTAAGAGAACCAAACGTCACATATACTGTTTCAGGAATGACAAACGCGAGTGTAAAAAAATTACGCGAGTAAATCCACCAAATTGATCCGCGATTGATCATGATACGTGTAGCAATGACGGAACGAACTATCTGACAAGCCGATGTCAAAACAGCTGTGCTTTAAGGGATGCAGAGTAAATTCAGAGTAACAAAACTACAGCAACAAGAAATGTCAACAACAAGTCAACAACCCTAACCCTAACCTTTAGCAGCTTCTACAGCTTCTCATCTTTGTCACCCATGATTAGTTTGCATCCCTGTTGCCAGTGTGGAGCCTACGAATCAATATAAATAAATATCATTACATTTACTTAGTTGACATTATTTATTTAGCTCTTCTACATTAAATTAGTTGAGTTAACATAATTAGTTGTCAACTTATAAAATTAGTAAAGCTGATAAAAACATACCTCAGGTCAACAATGAAACAAGAGAGGCTGTCAGCAATGGCACTAATTTCAATTGAACGGAACATGCGAAGGTCTTTGGATATGAAGGACATAGTAACAGCATTTGCTGCAGCTAAGGCTCGTAAGCACCATTTTTAAGGCGAAAATCTGTTACTGTAAATATAAAGATTGTACTGTATCTTCAAGATTGTATTGTACAGTATTGTTTTTTCTGCCATAAAGATGAAGATTGATATTTTGTTAAAGAATAAGCACTTTGTTTTAAAAAATAAACAATTTATGATCTATTATATGTGTTTTAACTACTTTTTGTATGTTGTATAAATATATATCTAGGCAACAAAGATATATTAACAAAATAATCTTTTAGAAGGTCCTCATCTATTAATTTTGCCTGGGGCCCCCACTTCATCTTGGTTCGCCTCTGCACACGTGCTTAAATGAATAAATGACTGCTCATATTCCAGCATACGGCATTCGCATTGATCAAGAGTGAATGGGTTGTCCACGTTTTTATTTTAATTTTTTTCTCCCTTCATCGCTGTACTGGGAAGCCAGAATGTGCATACATCAACAGAAACATACATTAGCCGAACCCTGTTTGTTTTACGTGTTGTTATTTTATAACAAACCATATTACAGATGCGTTGTCAGATTTAAGTTGCGTGCCGAACCGTGTGTGGAGAACCGGACGGTTCGATTTTTTACCGAGAACCATTTCGCCCTTACCTGAGACCTATGTTACATATTGTAAAAAGGGGCATAATAGGCCTCCATTAAAGCCAATCGATCCATTCTGAACATGAACATTCTGGGGTGATGTTACAGTAACAAGTAAAATAGCAAGTGACTTGGTATGTTTTTTTTCTTCACCTTTTGCATTTCAGGACTTGCGTCATTTTTCATTAGCTCTCCTTTTTTGTGGATTTTTTCTCAGTGGGATTTTAAGTGAGAATCCATTTGTAATAAGTATTTTAAATACCCCATTCAACAAGAATTCTTAACGTCAATGTTAATAATTTAATTCCCATGTTCATTTTAATAATCTTAAATACAGTAATCTTGCATTGTTCTTTTGAAATGTTTGGCGTTCTATATTATGACCAAATCTAATTTTCCCTTTGACCAGAGAACCAGAGGCCAGAAGAGGCAGAGAACATCCATCTGCGAGGAGGAGAATATCGAGGTGAGCTTTCTCTTCCTCACCCCGCACTCCTTTAAGACTGTCTATCTCCCTCATCTACCTCTAATATTTAGAGAGCGTGATGAAGGAAGACAGCTTGTGTATGTTTACACAGCAATCTCAGCCCTCTCCTCTCACCAGCTTAATTCAAACACACACGACGGTCGCCTCTAATAGCTTGCGTTTCCATAGGAACCTTTGCCGCGGGAGCGCAGACAGAGGCAGTCGACTCTGCAGAAAAAGCCCAAAGCCGATGACACGCGGACCGAGTGCACCACCTGCAAGGGCCCCGGCGACAATGAAAACCTAGTGAGGTGGGTAAAGCCTGTGCGACGTGCGTCTCTGAAGCATCTGCGCGTGCGAGAGCGTGTTTGATCTGGCAGGGGTTATATTCGCCTGGTGATTAAAGTTCAGGCTTCGTTATAAGGACTCTGCCATGCATGTGTGAGAGTGGGAGGCAGCGCTGGCTCCACAGGGCCTTCTCTATTTGGCTGCCACATGTATTTGCTCACTTGGTTTGGCAGTAATGAGCTGTCTGATTTACTGTCACCATTTGGCCTCAGGTATGAGGTATTGGTTCCTTCAAACAGGATTATTTTAACATAAGCGTCAGATCCAGATCAATTATCCTGTCTTTTTCCTTCCTTTAACACCTCCTCGTCATGCTTTTCAATGCCGTAACCTCATTATGTTTTTGGCTAAAATATACGCGAGCATGACTTTTAATTGACACTGACATAATAGTTAATTGACACTGACATAATAGAAGTGCCAAACAGTCACCACTTCCGTCACATGACGATCTGACAAAAAGCTGTTTTTGGGTAATTGGAAAATGGCTTGTCAGGTTACAAGTACTTCAAATGCTTTTAGGAGATATGCAATGTTTTACAGCTAGTTCGGGTTTGCTGCCGTTTGGCCTCGGCTGTGGTGTGAGGTGTGTTGCCCTGACTCTTTCTATCTTTGCATTGAACAGGTTGTGAGAGCCGGGCACCACCTCCTCCCCTAGAAAAGGACAGATGAGAGAGAGAGACAGGGAGAGAGAGAGAGGGAAATTAACTCGCTTGAAGAGCGGCGTTGGGGTCGGGGAGCAGCCACCTCCGACCGCCACCTTCGACCGTCCCTTCTGCCCAAAGCAGTCTGAAAGACGAAAAGACCATCGTATGTGGACTAACATAAAATAAATTCAGTTTGCACTGAGAGGGAGAGATCAACCCTCATTGGACACTATAAACGGACTTTATATGGACAGAATACTCAGTTAGCCAGTTTGGAGGCACATAGCGTCGTTCTTTGTGGAATACATGAACAGTGATGCTGGTTTTGGGCCTTTTGCTCTGTGGATTAAGCCAGATTCTGGGCCGTTTCACCATCTTTGCAAGCGATTTGCTGTCATCTGGCCTTCTTTGGGCCTCCTGGACTTTCTTTTTCTCTCTCGCTTTTACACTGACTCTAAAACAGCGCACACCTCACTCAATCAGCTGTGTTGATTGAGTCAAATGTGCTTCTGAAAGCTAATTGTGTCTTCTGTCTTGCTTTTATTATGAATGCTTTTAATGCTTTTGTTTCGTGACTCTGCTCTATTTTGCCTGTGATGTGTGAATTATATGGTTAAAAGTGGTTAGATGATAGAATCAGTAGAATCTTCTTTTTTTTGTTTTAAGTGTTTGAATTTTTTACTAGTTGTGGTAGCGTAATATTAATAGCTCAAAATGATAATATCCGTGCTTAAACTTATAGTTCTTTCCTTAGTATCATATCAGTGATAGCGTGAATATCACAAGAACATATCTGGGTATATTTCACCATTTTTAATATTTTGACATTATTTTTATGATATTCACACATTTTCCATCCCAAATCTGATTACCATAATGGTTTGGGGTATTTTATTTTATGTTTTTAAATGTTTTTATTATTTGAATTCTCATTTTATAAACCACTACTGTGATACAGTATGCAGTACAATAGTTTTTAATTTCTTTTTCTTTTTTTTTTACTTTTTGATACGTGAATGCTTTACAATTGAAAATAAGCATTTTTCTCAGGCTCCTATGTTTGTGTTTAGTTATCTCACTTTAATGGCAATGTAAAGAACCTATTCATTGCCATTAAAGTGAAATTACTGAACCTACACATAGGAGTAGGGCTGTGCAAATAATCAAATTCGATTATCATGCACATCTCATCAGTAAAGCCGGTTCTGTGATTAGTAGTAAATCTCCATCACCTGCTTTCAAATGGAGCAGCATTTACTACACAGAGCCACAGTTCTTGTCAGTGAACTACGGCTCTGTGTAGTAAATGCTGCTCCATTTGAAAGCAGGTGATGGAGATTTACTACTAATCACAGAACCGAATTTTATCTTTTTTTTTTTTTTGCATTATGACGGTTAGAAGAAATAATGTGCCAAATTCTCATGAAAATAGTGT